TGTGCATCGGGAGACATATCGCATAAGCACATGTGCATCGGGAGACATATCGCTTAAGCACATGTGCATCAGGAGACATATCGCTTAAGCACATGTGCATCAGGAGACATATCGCATAAGCACATGTGCATCGGGAGACATATCGCATAAGCACATGTGCATCAGGAGACATATCGCTTAAGCACATGTGCATCAGGAGACATATCGCTTAAGCACATGTGCATCGCTTTCGCTTAGGCGTTCGCTTTGCTTTGCGTTTTCCATTGCATTTTTGCGGCGTTTTTGATGCATTTTGCAATTTTTTCTTTTTCATTTTTAATACATGCTTTTCTGCAGCATTCCCATTGAAGTCTATAGAACCAAAAATGAAATGTTTTGGGTTAAAAAAAGTCCCTGACCTTTCCAAAAAACGCACTGGGTGAAAACACAGAGATGTGAACCTGTCCCATGGAAAATCATGTTAAATGGACTGTACTGCGTTTCTGCAAAATGCAAAATGTGCCAGAAAATGCTTACGTGTGAACCTATGGTAATACACATAGGGGTTGATTTACTAAAGGCAAATAGGCTGTGCACTGTAAGTGCACTGAAAAGTGCAGTTGCTCTAGATCTGAAGGGAACATACAAGGAAAAAATAACAGAATTTTTGCTTGCACATGATTGGATGAAAGAAATCAGGAGAGCTTTGCCTCATTTCAGAGCTTCCCTTCGGATATAAAGCAACTGCACTGGCAGTGCACAATATATTTATCTTTAGTAAATCAACCCCATAGTCTCTGAAGGAAATGTAGCAATAGTCAGCAATATGTTTTGAATTTGAATTGATTTTTTTATTCAAATTTGTTTTTGAATTTGATTCAAATTTCAGATTCATTTTGTTTCAATATTTTGGATTCATTTAAATTGGTTACTATTGTAATTCGGAAATTCAGATACATCCGAATCTCTGAATAGCAAAAATTTCATCCAAATTTCGATTTGGAATGAAACAAAGCGCACATATCTACCGACCATTGCCTTTATTTAGAAATCGGCCTTCAACCACAAGGAATTGAACTGTTTGGATCTAATTGGCTTGTTGGACTGTTAAGTGTATGAGCATCAAAATACTCTGACTACATTATTTAAAGTATATTCAAACCCAAAGGTATTTTTAACTTTATTTCCTCCTTGGTTATAGAATAAATACATAATTAGTAGTAGCTTGGTAAGGGGTACCATGTAAATGATAGACAAAATATCATATAACACAATTGTTTATACAGAATTCATAATTTTAAGATTAGGTAGGTGTTGGTACTATTCTCTGACATGGATCATGACTTAGAAAGAATAGATCCAAAAATGATTTACCTCCTATAAGGAGGATTTTAGTTTTTTAAGAATAAAAAAGTGAGTGTTGTGTCCCCCCCCCCCCCCCCCCCCCCCCCAGTCTTTGCTTTTGCTTTGCTGTGTCTTATCTCTAGGCTAACCCTAGGCTTGTGTTTTTTTCTGCTTTTTTTTTTTTTTCTCATCCCCCACATCTCTTCTAACATTCTGCTAAAAATTTGAATAGTACTGCTTGGATCTTGAAGAAGGGGACATACCGCCGAAAGCTTGTCCTCAAAATTGTATGTTAGTGCAAATAAAAAAAGTATCACGTCAGTACTCAATTGTTTCTGTCGCAAGTGCACTAATATGGCTACAATCACCTTAAGAATAAAACGAAAGAAACAATAGTTGGAAGGAAAAAGTGGCATAATAGAACATAAAAGCTGTAAACCAGTAATAACATCTATCAAAAAGTTTTAGGAATATGTCCATATTTCCTGAAGTGCTACCGATTGGTTTGTTTATCTAGTGTATATATACACAGGATGCTGTGAAATCTCTGTTGTCAAGCGAGCAGCCTATTATTCCTACCCGATACAGACTATAGCCTGTGCCGATAAGCAGCTAATTTCTCCACGCAATAAAAACCTAAACGTGGATTCTAAACTATAGTGCCTTTTCAGTGAGTACTCTTTGTGAGTTACTAAATGCATTATCTACTGTATACTGTATATAGATTTATAAATGGTCACTCTAATGGTTTTTCAATGCCTTATGTAATCCTGCATATCCTGGCCTTTGGTTTGGTATAGTTTTTCTTATCCAATAGAGTTTATTGCTTAGATTAGCTCTTTCATGTACCTTTCGTAATCCCTCCCACATTTCTTTAGCAGTTTCACACTTGCATATATGTATGATTTGATCATCTTCTTTGCTAAGAGAGATTGTGCTCAGAGCTTTCTGATCTTTCTCTATCCACTCTTCTGAAGGGTGTTCTGGCCTAACTTCATTTATATATTTCCACATAATTTCTCTTATCAGCATCATTTTCATCTTGAATTTCCAAGACTGGTAGTTCTAGTTTATCAGATTTGCAAATGAAAGTTTTGTTGCAGCGGTGTCTTTCTACATCTTAGGAAACATAGACCCTTATTTGAGGACAGTGAGCAACACATTGTTTATAGAGAAAACAACTGGTACACAAGAGGTATGAAAGAAGACATCTATGTCACACAGGAACAACCATCCCTGCACAGGAGTGGGAGACTTTGATACCATCTTGATTCCACATTTTAATGTACCCTGGTGATTTGACAACAGTTCACACCATAGCCACGAATAATTCCAGTTAAATGTGACTAATAACTATTACCTATAAATGTATACATATAATATATATTAAACACCTATGCTTAGGATCAATAACTAATTAAATACAAATATGTGAAAAATCCTTTTTTGACTGGCTGCAGCTCTATTAAGGTAATGTACCTTTAAATTATATGGGTTGCTATAGGAGATGCATGACGGTGCGCAACATTCTGTCCAGAGTTTTTAATGCCTAGTAACAATTGAGTACTGATATGATACTTTTTTTATTTGCACTAACATACAATTTTGAGGACAAGCTTTTCGGGGAATGTCCCCTTCTTCAAGGTCCAGGCAGTACTACTTAACAAAGTTTTAGCAGAATGTTAGAAGAGATGTGGGGGATGAAAAAAAAAAAAGACTAGAGATAAGACACAGCAAAAGCAAAGACTGGGGGGGGGGGGGGGGGCAACACTCACAGAGGGATCATAAAACTGTTGGATAATGATTGAGGAATCCCATGTCCAAATTAAGGCCGCTATCTCTTGTGTCAAATATAATTATCATTCTTAGTTCAAAAGTTTTTCTTTCCTGAATGGATTTGAAATTTCCTTTAAAAACTAAAATATTGAAGTCTCCCATGGTGTGGTCTGATTGTGCGAAATGGTGTCCCACAGGTGTGCAAAAAGCCATCTTCTTTATGTTCCTTGATGGTATGTCTGTGCAAATTCATCCTTGCTTGCAACGTCTGTCCTGTATTGCCAACATAAGATCCTTTGCTACATTTTCTGCATTGGATAAGGTACACAACATTACTAGAGGTGCAGCTGTATGATCCGGAGATATTGAAGAACCCTTTTGAGTGTCTGATGCTTTTCATGGATTGATTTGGTTGCACAGTTTGCAGCGTTTCTTATTGCAGGGTTTGCTTCCATTATTTGTGACATCATAATCAGAATGGAAGCTTCCTACTGATTAGTTTATTTCTGAGGTTGGGGGGTTGTCTGAAGGCCAGTATTGGGGGTTGCTGGAATATTTCTTTCAGAGTTCCATCCTCTGCTATGATGGGTTGTAAATCTTTGATTATTTTTCTTATCCCTTCTAGTGCTGGGTTGTATGTGGTTACTAGAGGTACACGGTTGTTTGTTTTTTTTCTCTTTGTACTGAAATAGATTTTCTTTTTGGGTTCTCAAGGCTGTGTTTATGCTGGTGTTAATAGTTTTGTCCTTGTAACCTTTCTTATGGAAGGAGTCTGCTAGTGTCCCGAGATGTGTATCTCTGTCTCTTGGGTCAGAACATACTCGGTGGTATCTAATGGCCTGACTGTGTATGATGGCACGTTTCGTGTGTTGGGGGTGGAAGCTAGAACTGTGGAGGTGGTTGCATCTGTCAGTGGGTTTCCTGTATATTGAGGTGTGAAGTGTATCATCCCTGATGTATATTGTGGTGTCTAGGAAGTTGACGTGTGTGTTTGAGTATTCCATTTTTAGTTTGATTGATGGATGAAAAGTGTTGATCAATGAGTAAAATTGTTTTAGGTTTTCTTCACCTTCTGTCCATATGATGAAAATATCATCAATATAGTGATAGTATCTGTATGGTTTTTGTTCCATGCTGTTCAGGAATTTTTCCTCCAGGTCATCCATAAATAAATTGGCATATTGGGGTGCTATTTTAATTCCCATCGTAGTACCCATACATTGAAGATAGATGTCTTTATTGAAGGCAAAGTAGTTGTGTGTAAGTATGAATTCAATGAGCTGTGTAACATCCTCAGCAGTGTATTTGTGGTTTGGTGAGGATGATAAGGATCTGTGACATGCAGCTAAGCCATCCTTGTGAGGGATATTATTATACAGGGATACTACATCCATAGTCACTAGAAGTGTATTAGATGGTAATTGCTGTATGCTGTTGATCTTGTTCAGAAAGTCAGTTGTGTCTTGCAGGAAACTAGCAGTATTCTTGACTAATGGTTTCAAAATTTTTTCTACAAAGCCTGAGATTTGTTCAGTGAGTGTATTCATACCTGTTATGATGGGTCTGCCTGGATTTCCTGGCTTGTGGATTTTGGGCAGCATGTAGAAGTCTCCGATTTCTAGATGATCCGGAATCGCATTTATAAGTTCAGAATGTAGGTGGGCTGGAAGTGTTTTAATGAGACCTTTTAGTTGCTTTGTAAAGTCCTGGGTTGGATCATAATCCAGTTTTTTATAGTAGATGGCATTTTCCTGCTGCCTCTGGCCTTCTTGTATGTATTTGAACAAGGATGAATTTGCACAGACACACCATCAAGGAACATAAAGAAGATGACTTTTGCACATCTGTGGGACACCATTGCGCACAACCAGACCACACTATGGGAGACCTCAATATTTTAGTTCTTAACCTCCCTAGCGGTATGATTATTTCCGATTTTTTGTGCTGAAAGCGGTACCATTTTTTTTGCATGGAAATATGTAGTTTTTTTATTGTAGGCTGTAATTTTTAGGAATAACTCACTGAAATCTGTACAAACAAGTCTAGTAAACATCCCGGGTAGGATAAAATTTGAAACACGAAATCATAATTTATAAATTATTAGATAATCATAAAAAATAATAATATAATAATAACAAATTTAATTCAATAATATAATCAAACCAAAAACACTGAAATTTGAAATACAGAGGCAAATTCGCAAAATCGTTTTCAGTGTCTGATGACGAATTTCCCCACGAATCATTATCACTCAATTCTGCAAGTAGTTCTGATTTACTATCGCTGTTCTCTAGCTGGTCTAAAACCGCTTTTGACGTAAAGGGACACTTTTTGGACACCCTGGACATTTCTAAGTTTCCAGGCAGAAAGAACAGTCAAAATGCAGGCAGGGCACAGGACAAAGCAGTAGGGACAAAATATATGTGAAATGCATTGAAACAGCAATGTTTTACTATGTAATAGTCATTTTTAAAAAAACAACATTTTTTGACGTCCCAACGTCACAGTGACCGGAACACGGAAGCCAGATGCCGGCATCGGCCGGAGGAGATGGCCGGGGATGCTGCAGGGGACACATCGTGGGAGCGAAGGACAAGGTAAGTGCTGCAGGGACTCCCTGAGCAACGCCGCATGGTAAGCCCGAGTGTAGCTCGGGGTTACCGCTCTTGGTATTCAAATTTTACCCCCGAGCTACACTCGGGAATACCGCTAAGGAGGTTAAAGGAAATTTCAAATCCATTCAGGAAAGAAAAACTCAAGCATAATGCCTAGTAAAATTTTTATACATGTAAGTGCAATTGTTTTAATATCATGTTTGAATAAACTGAATTACACTATTGGAATTTTTCACATCTTTCATATTGGAACTATATGAGATCTAATAACATCGGTATGGTTACTGAAGTGGAAAATGGAAAAAGTGTCTATGACGACCACAAGTCCCAGAATAACCCATAGTGAGATACAGCACTGATGACTCTTATTAACACTAAGAGTCTGCAGGTTCTGGTAAGTGAGTGGGCACAAATGAGGGGAGCACCGTATTTTGCACAGTTACCAAAGTGTAGGGATATTGTAATATATGGGACTGAGCTAAATGTATTTTACACAGCAAAAGCATAGCCAAGGACTCTTTGCTATGTTAATTTCATGCAATATCACCTTGGCACTTGGGGGCTAACTTGTTAGATTTCAAAGGAGGTAATTTGCAAACTTGCAATGGTGATAAAATTCAGATCGCTCAGTCAGACTTGAAAGGACTTGGCCAGCATCTACTATCTAATAACATGAAAAGGGGTATTAAGTATGGTAAATAGCATTGTTCAAAGCGTAACTTGTTTATCTAATTAATAATAAAAGAACGCAGTTTAGGAAATATCTGGACAACTTTGATTAGAATTTATGACTGCATCTGTCCAAGCCCAAAAGGCATAACCTGTCACCCAGAAGATCAAAGGGCTACTAAAAGTAGCAAGTCAGAATGCTTGTCATTATGCTGAATTGGGAGAATGGGTAGATTAGGGAAGTTTCTTTTGGTTAAGATGTGACAGGAGAAAGTGAGTCCTATGAGGGTTTCTGATAGTTGCATGAATATTCAAAATACCCTGTCATCTGCCTTGTCAGTACCTCTGTTTTGTGAACTGTCACTGAACTGAATAAATGCATCTCTCTGGAAAAGAACTGTTGGACTAGTTGCTGTTGGAAAATACATTTATAAATACATCATCATCCATCCTCCATGTTATTATAAGACAATACAAAGCACAAAGCACTTTATTAGACTGCACAGTTGATTGGCACAATTTTGAATGAAGAAGCACAAGTTTTATGGACTCATCATTTTCATTTGAACTGATGCATTGATATAAATAGATTGATAGATAGATAGATAGATAGATAGATAGATAGATAGATAGATAGATAGAGCATGCAAAGAAACAAAGCTTTTTAATGATTAGCTTTCTTTGATAACATTTTTTACAGATGTGTTTGAAAACTTTAAAATGCAAAAGAGGACTGGTGCTGGATTGTAAGCAGGGGCAGTGCCAGAGAGAGGGGGTATTGTTCTGAGCTTTTTTTTTTTTATTTTCACAGCTGCTAAAAAGACTATTTTAAAAAAAAACTATTTCTTAAACTGTTGCTGGCCTGGCCTTACAAAAGAGTTCAATTTCACTGAACCTTCCATTCAGCTGCTAAAATAATTTAGTTATATTTTTTTTATGTTCAAATAGTTTTTATTAAAGTTTAAACATACATAAATAATATATGATAATCAATCTTATGGTTCACATTGAGAATAACATTTTACGAAAAATAGACAAAAGGGAAGTGAAGGATCCCCACCAAGTGGCCGGGGAACCTGTATTTCTGTGATTCAGTTACATGAGAGGTATGCTCCGTATGTTGTGAACCATTCTAGGAGACTAGTGGGGCATAAGAGTGGGGAGAACATGAGGGTAGTGGAGGAACAGGGAAGGAAGTGGGGGAAGGGGAGGGTAAGCACCAATTCAGTGTGGGCAGAGAGTATTGTATTCCTTTCAAATAGTAATCAGCAACGTATTGAGCAATTAGGATTTTTTAACCATCGAGACCATTGAGACTTAAATTTATGATAGGAGGAGTTGTGCAGGGCTGTTCTTCTTTCCATCTCACATTGGAGATTGAGATCAGAAAATAGGCGTGACAAAAGAGGAGTTGAAGTGGATCGCCATAGTTTGGTAATGTTAATTTTAGCGGCTGCTAAGATGTGTATAATGATAATGCGTGAGTTCGTAGGTTATTTATCAATCCCGATGTGAAGGAGGGCTAGTGCTGGGTTCGGGGATATTTGTGTTTCCGCAATTGAGAAGACTATCTGGAACACTTTGTTCCAATATGATTTGAGAGACTTACACAGCCAGAGTAGGTGAAGTAGTGAGCCTGTCTCTCCACAGTGTCTCCAACATGCTTGCGAGAGCTGGGGATAATAGAGGGATAGTTTGGTAGTAGGGTTAGGTACCCCTGATGGAGAATTTTTAGATATGTTTCCCAATGAGAGCTGCATTTGGAGGCTTTGAAAGTAATAGTAAATGTTTTTTTCCCAGGTAAGTGGAGCTATTGGGAGAAGATGTTTTCTACCCCAGTTGGCTATTGAGGTAGTATTTGTGGGAAATAGGGTTCCAATTATAGTTGTGTAAAAATTTGAGATTTCCTTTTTTGGGTAAGTGGACATCTGGAAGAATTGGTGCGTAGATACCTGGGACTTTTACCTCTGATGGTATGGGTTTTTTTTTGTAGTGTATGGGCTATCCGCATGTATGTGAATTGTTCCATGTCTGGAAGATGGAATTGCTTTTGGATAGTGGAAAAAATGAGTCAAAGCTTATGATTAGTGTAGATATCATGAATATGCAGTAAGCCAGCAGCTTTCCACTTTGTTAGGTTTAGTTGTGGGATGATGTGGTGTACGGAGGACAGTGGACCGGAGTTCGCACTGTATTTTGATTTAACTGATTGTGATTTTTAAAAAGTCGAGCCAGACACACAAAGAGGCTTGTATGCAGGGTGTTTATGTAGAGGTTTAGATTGTGCCATCTGTGGTATGAGCAGTAAGTCAGTTATTTTGTGAGGTAGGAATAGGGATGTTTCCATAGTGGACCAGATCTTCTCAGCGGAAGGATGCCACCAGAAGAACATCTTGTCCAACAGAACAGCTTGATAGTACGATTTCAGGTGTGGGAGTCCAGCTCCTCCCCTTGAGGGTGGACGTATGAGTAGGTTCGTAGTATATCTGGGTTTTTTTGAATTGCACGTAATTTGTTTAATATTGCTTGTAGTTTAGAGAAAAAGGAGGAAGGGACTGGGATAGGGAGTGTCCGAAATATGTAAAGAATTTTTTGGGTAGTATGCACATTTTTTAGAGTGGCTATTTTGTCAAGTGTCGATAATGTAGTCGTACGGAGGTATTTGAGCTCTTGTGGTATAGTTTCGAGTAGAGGCTTGAAGTTAATGTTGTTGTAAGTTGGTTAGTTGAGTAGGTAGAGAGTTTAATCCACAGGTAGGGGATACTGTGCGTTTCCCAAGTGAACTCAAGGGAAACGTTGGGAGTGCACGGTTTGTGTTCCTGTGGGTGTGTAGAGGTTCAATATAGACGATTTGGGGTTCATTAAGCTTATAATATGAGACTGCCGCGTATCTATGAATCTGTGTACGGATTGCCTGAAGCGACCTGGATGGGTTTGTAACCATTAGAATAATATCATCTGCGAAGAGACTAATTTTTATGTTCTTTCTGGAGGAGATTGATGTCTGTGAAGTTTTAAGTCATTTCTAAGGTTGGAAGCTAGCGGTTCAATGAGTAGTGCGAAAATGATAGGGGATAGTGGGCAGCCTTGTCTGGTCCCGTTTTGGATATAGAGAAGGATTGTGAAAGCGTGCCATTAGTTAGGACTTTAGCTGAGGGGTTTGAATAGAGTGATAAAATTGCCGATAACATCCAGTCTGTTATTCCAAATTTTTTGGAGTGTAAGTGTCATAAATTGCCAATGTATTCTATCAAATGCTTTTTCTGCGTCTAACGACAGTAGGAGGGATGGTTTCTTATTAGTTTTTTCGAGATGGTGTAGAAGGGATATAATGCGTCTAGTAGCGTTCGGGGCTTGTCTTCCCGGAATAAAACCCCACTTGATCTGGTGAATTAGTGTAGGTAAGTGAGGAAGGAGTCTCTGGGCTATTAATTTTGGCGTATATATTTTATATCTGTATTGAGAAGTGAAATCGGTCTGTAATTCTGGACCAGTTGTGGATCTTTGCCCGGTTTTGGGATTGTAGTGATTATTGATTGGAGCATATCAGGGGGAATTCCCCGCGAGAGGCAACAAGGTTGTATAGGGTAGCTAAATGTTGCGTTAGACTGGGCGCAAATGTTTTTATAAAATTA